TATGTATTTACCTGGTCTATGTAAAACTTTACTAATCTGCTCCCACGCATTATCCCTTACATTTTGATTCCTATAATCCTCCAAGGACTTTTTCCATAAACATGGTCGTTGTTTAACTTCCTCGATTAAAATTTCCATAACCATGTTTGTTTACTGTTTGTTTAACAATACGCGTCGACGCCACCTAGACTTGCAACGGCGTAAATAAAAGCCAAAACATACGTTGGACCGTTTACTGCGCAAGCCCGTACTCGGCGACGAATAAAAATATATGCGACAACAAAACATTCAACGACGCAGCTAACATAGCGAACATCGCGAACATAGCGTACGCGGATCTGTGTGGCCAGTCCCGTTGTCTACAACGGAAGATATATTTTCGTCGTATAGCGAACATCGCGTACGTAGCGAACATAGCGCTCTGTGTGGCCGAGCCTTTAGTTTTAGATATGGGTTTCTTATAAGGTGCTTCGAAGCGTACTTTAGCATATAGTAAGTTTGTTATTCCAAAGACGTCTTTGTTGTTTTTATTACGTTTTACATCAATAAAGGTCAATAAATATCCTTTATTATTCCTGTAGTTGTATTTCTTTGTTTTAAGTAACTATTTGGTTTTGATACTAGCTAAGGCTGTTTTATGCTTTGTTGATTATCCAGCATAGGGGTGATTTCTTAACTTAGTTGTATCATTTGTTGACTGTTGAGTTGTTGCTGATATATCGTATATTGTTAATGCTATAGTGGTAGAGACTAGAGGGGGATATAGGGGTAGAATGCGAATATATGGAGTTGATTCCAGTTTACTCCAATTAGCCTCTTCTACTCAAATCCGACTCTCACCTTCACGATGGTGTCCCCTGTTAACCGAGCAACCCAGCTGGAGATCCGGTATAAAACCCCGGGTGGAAAGTTGGGTCGGGAACTGACGAGAGCGGGTGAAATGGCCCTCCGAAAAGGGGGTTTGGCGTGGGGTTAACTACCCAACCCTGTAAAAACCCATAGTTACGAAATCTAAAGTTAAAAATGCTGGACGGAAATCTCGACGACGACCTATGCAACGAAATAAGGACAACGATCTTAAAGTATTTACCTGGAATGTTCGCACACTCAACGAACTTGGAAACATCCGAAAACTGTGTGACATATTAGCACAATATAACGCTGACATTACTGCAATACAAGAAGTACGATGGATAGGCCATGGCATAATCGAAAAAACAAACTACAATATATACTACAGCTGCCATAGAACTAGACATGAATTTGGGACAGCCTTTATAGTCAGTAATAAAGTCAAGCATTTGGTTATAGATTTTAAGCCAATAAATCCACGAATGAGCTGCTTAAGGATCAGGGGTAAGTTTTTTAATATTAGTCTTATTAATGTACATGCCCCAACAGAGGACAAGGAAGACGAAGAAAAAGACAATTTCTATGAGGAATTAGAAAGAACATATGACAGTTGTCCCAGAAATGACATTAAAATAGTAATCGGTGATCTGAACGCAAAAGATATAGATATAGATATAGATATAGATATAGATATAGATATAGATATAGATATAGATATAGATATAGATATAGATATAGATATAGATATAGATATAGATATAGATATAGATATAGATATAGATATAGATATAGATATAGATATAGATATAGATATAGATATAGATATAGATATAGATATAGATATAGATATAGATATAGATATAGATATAGATATAGATATAGATATAGATATAGATATAGATATAGATATAGATATAGATATAGATATAGATATAGATATAGATATAGATATAGATATAGATATAGATATAGATATAGATATACAGATTGAACCAAATTAAAACGGAACATACAATTTAATACATGTGTGTTTAAACTGCATTTGAAATAGTGGACCAATATAAAACTCGGACAAAAATAAATCCATACCTAGGTATAGACATTGTATAAAATATCGTTCAACTATCTGTCTCACAACAATGTTGTTTGCATAAGACGGGTTTGTCTAAGGAAACGATTATAGTTCAGGAAATAAAGCTCGAAAATAGTTAAAACCTCGCAATTTTTTCGTCCTGCATGTATCTATTTGAAATTTTAACAAAAGGTAGGTGATAGCCCAAGGATCAAAATCTATATCGAACCGAAGTGCGCTGAAGGGTTTTAGGGGGGAAAACTACCCCTAATTGTCAAAAATTATAAAATAACATATTAAACCTGAATATGGGTAAGATTTGGTTTGAATTAGTTAAATAATGATTATTTTATACTTTTGAATAGAGTTCCATCATATTTCAACCCTTAAAAAGCAACCCTTGTTAGAGATTAATGTAAAAAATTACCAATTATAAAAAAATGATTTCGCCTTGGATCGATTTGGATAAAAATTTGGATTTAAGCTCAATTCACCCGCTGCTTTATAGTTTATGTCATGTCGACGAACCCTGATTGTTCTAAGGGGTGAAAACTACCCGTAATTGTCAAAAATTATAAAATAACATATTAAACCTGAATATGGGTAAAATTTGGTTTGAATTAATTAAATAATGATAGTTTCGTGCTTTTGAATAAAGTTCCATCATATTTCAACCCTTAAAAAGCGACCCTTATTAGAGATTAATATAAAAAAATTAGTAATGCGAGAAAATGATTTCACCTTGGAACGATTTGCATAAAAATTTGGAATTAAGCTCAACTCACCCTCTGCTTTATAGTTTATGTCATGCCGATGAACCCTGATTGTTCTTAGGGGTGAAAACTACTTCTAATTTTCAAAAATTGTAAAATAATATTATAAATCTTAAGATGAGTGAAATTTGGTTTGGATTAGTTAAATAGTGATTTTTTTATACTTTAAAATACAAATTCATACATTTTCAACCCTTAAAAATCAATTGTTATGAGTGCTATAGGTGAAAACAATTTTTTGGCAAAATTTTGCAACTTTTCAACTTTTGAAAATCACCCTTTACAACATTGCAGTTTTTATAAACTAATTTATAAGATATAAATTGAAAAAAGTAGAATTAAATACATAAAAATTTATCAATATAAAAAGGCACCATATATTCTTATACATTTACATAAATAGTTGAAAATATTTACATTTATAGGTAAAACAATTGTAATATTAATTTTATTCGTCATCAATTACATCTTCATCGTGATCTATGTCATCCTCATCTTCAATTATTGGTGGACTATTATTGCACCCTTCACCTGAGCACCCAGAACAAGTAGAGTTACAGTATAAACCAACTTTTCTGCACCCACATGAAACACCGCATCCTTTTTTGCATTGCCAAAAAATAATTTTCAAAAGTTCATCGAGTGCAGGTTGTTTGTTCATGCGTACGGGTAATAACAAACCATCTTTGGAATACCATCCCCAATCTGTTGCTCTAATATTTTCATTGCCAAGCCATAGACATATGAGCAGATGTTTTATTCTGTTGTATGGGATTTCAAAATAAGAACGCTTAAAATTTCGAATGCATAACGCCCCACTAGCTAATATACCGGTTTTGTAGATTACTATGCTCCGAAATGTACTGTACTATACTAATAAAATTTTCCGGAAAAAAATTCACTGGTTTTTTTAACGTATTTCCTTTAATTTTTAACGATAGAGTGTTTCTTCAAAAACGATTTGTAGAGGTTTTTAAGAGCTACAAGAATCTGTGAATTAAATCTTTTTGGAACCCTTGGTTTTTAAATGGGGTGAGTTTAAAGGGATCGAAAAAGATGGTGCTTGATCGTAAATCGATGCTTTAAACGGCTATATCTTGCCAAATATTCATTGTAAAACAAATCTAAATGAAGGATAATTTTAGTCATTAAAAAAGCTACAATTTGGTAATTTGTATTTTTTTTATATATTCAGTATTTTCGGGCATATTTAAAAAAAGAAGGGTAAAAAATATGAAATTGTAAATCGTTTCTCGCTTTAAGCTGTACTTTTTATAACACAAAGCATTTTAAATGGGTCAAACTTCTTGGACATATTAACAATACATGTACAAAGGGAATTTCAGAAGGGTGAAGATCGATTTTAATTGTGGGGGTGGTTAGGGGGTTGTTTTCATCGATTTTTTCGTAAAAAATGAGGTATTGACCTTATTTTCATCATAACTCACTTAATTTTTCAGCTAGAGTCTTTTTTATGATAGGTCTATTTATGCTCTTTAAAAAAGGTTTTGTGAGTTTTCTTCCAAAAATGCATCATTTTCCCGATATTTGATTTTAAATCTTTCAAATTTGGCATTTGAAGAAAACCGCTGAACATTAATAGGCCGTATTTCGGTTCCTGTTATATCCCAAAAACATTTTAAAAAATGAATTGTATTTGTCTTTTTAAAAGCTACAAATTTGTTCTCTACAATTTTTTTGATAAAATGCACCATTTTCGAATTATTCGCGAAAAATCGATTAAAAACGTGGATTTTTTCGTCTAAAAGTTATTACTTTCAATCGCGAATAACTTGAAAAATATCATTTTATAAAAAAAATGTATAGCACATTTTTTGTTTAGAATCACTTTTTTAATCGAAACCTGTAGTTAAAACGTAAAAAAAAATTTCACCCCGGAGATGGGGTGGCAACCACCCCCTAGGCTTTGGCGCACTTTGGTTCGATATAGATTTTGATCCTTAGGCTATTACCTACCCTCTGTTAAATTTCAAGTCAATCCAGGGAGCACGAAATAATTGCGAGGTGAAATGCTTCATTTCCTGGACTATAACTGGTTTGACAGCATAAATCGTAGATTTATGTGTAGCTTTCAATTTTTATGAGTTCAGAATCCAGCAGCCCACTGAAGTATTGGATTTTTATAATATAAATATTTGACAATCTTTTGTTGGCCAACCAGCTACAGCAGAATTGAGCCGAAATACATTATATTCCTATGTTCCGAATTTATTTCGTTCAATCTGTAGATATAGATATAGATATAGATATAGATATAGATATAGATATAGATATAGATATAGATATAGATATAGATATAGATATAGATATAGATATAGATATAGATATAGATATAGATATAGATATAGATATAGATATAGATATAGATATAGATATAGATATAGATATAGATATAGATATAGATATAGATATAGATATAGATATAGATATAGATATAGATATAGATATAGATATAGATATAGATATAGATATAGATATAGATATAGATATAGATATAGATATAGATATAGATATAGATATAGATATAGATATAGATATAGATATAGATATAGATATAGATATAGATATAGATATAGATATAGATATAGATATAGATATAGATATAGATATAGATATAGATATAGATATAGATATAGATATAGATATAGATATAGATATAGATATAGATGTAGTTATAGATATAGATGTAGTTATAGATATAGATATAGATATAGATATAGATATAGATATAGATATAGATATAGATATAGATATAGATATAGATATAGATATAGATATAGATATAGATATAGATATAGATATAGATATAGATATAGATATAGATATAGATATAGATATAGATATAGATATAGATATAGATATAGATATAGATATAGATATAGATATAGATATAGATATAGATATAGATATAGATATAGATATAGATATAGATATAGATATAGATATAGATATAGATATAGATATAGATATAGATATAGATATAGATATAGATATAGATATAGATATAGATATAGATATAGATATAGATATAGATATAGATATAGATATAGATATAGATATAGATATAGATATAGATATAGATATAGATATAGATATAGATATAGATATAGATATAGATATAGATATAGATATAGATATAGATATAGATATAGACTAGATATAGTCTCCATAATGATACAAATTCAAATGGACACCGAGCAGTCACCTTCGCAGCCGCAAAGAACATGATCGTAGGAAGCACATGTTTTCTACACAAAAAAATACATATGTGGACTTGGACCTCACCTGATGGACTAACGAACAACCAAATTGATCATGTGATCATAGATGCTAGACACTTCTCAAACCTAATGGATGTCCGCACCTATCGAGGCGCCAATATTGATTCAGATCACTTTCTAGTTGGCACACGAATTCGAGCTAGAATCTCAAATGCGAAGAAGGAGAGAAGTACCAAAACAACGCGTCTCAATATTGAAATCCTCAAAAATCATCAAACAGTAGAAAGGTTTCAAAACTATATCGAAACTAAACACATAATTCATGAGGACCTAACAATTAGTGAACAATGGGAAATGTGTAAAAATAATATTAAAGAGGCAGCAAATAATATTCCAGGGCCAGAAAGACCACCACCACGTAATGACTGATTTGATGCTGAGTGTGAGGACATTACAAGAAGAAAGAACGATGCATATAAACTGATGCAGCAAAGAAGAACCCGAGAAAAACAGCAAAAATATAAAGATCTCAGAAAAGAAGAGAAGTGCATTCATAGAAGGAAAAAGCGAAATCACGGAAATAGAATATTGGAAGAACTTGAGGTATTAAATAAGGAAAACCAAACAAGAAAATTCTACAAAACTCTAAATAACGCAAGAAAGGAATTCAAACCAAGGCTCAGACTATGTAAGGATAAGGAGGGGCATATACTAAATACAAAAGAAGAAGTAGAGTGGTGTATTGGAATCGTTTGCCCGCTACACAAAAAGGGTGACCAATTGGAATGTTGAAACTATAGGGGAATAACCCTCCTTAATACAGCATACAAAATATTTTCGAGGATCATATATGGTCGCCTAAGTACATATTCAGAGGAACTTCTCGGGGAATATCAAAGTGGCTTTAGGCCTGGTCGATCAACAACAGATCAGATCTTTGTGCTAAGGCAAATACTGGAAAAAACCAATGAATTCAATATCGATACATACCATCTTTTTGTAGACTTCAAATCTGCCTATGATAGTGTCCTAAGAAATAAATTGTATGAAGCAATGAATGAATTCCACATTCCCGATAAACTGATAAGATTGGTTAAGGCTACAATGCGTAATGTGGTTTGCAAAGTCGAAATACAGGGCGAACAATCACAGGCGTTTGGAACGCATGTTGGGCTGCGACAGGGAGACGCGCTGGCGTGTCTCCTTTTCAACATAGCACTGGAAAAGGCAATCAGAGATGCCCGAATAGACAACAGAGGAAATATTTTTAATAAATCATCCCAAATCTTGGCATATGCAGATGATGTGGACCTGGTTGCCCGCACAACACGCAAGATAGAAGAAATGTATACCACCTTCTCAAATGCCTCAAAATCTATTGGCCTGCAAGTAAATGAGGAGAAAACTAAGATGATGGCATCAACACCCAACAATAGAGCCAGGAACATCGGTCCCCAATTCACGGTTGATAACTCTACCTTTGAAGTGGTTGACAAATTCACATACTTAGGCTCCCTGATCACCAAAGAGAACGCCATAACGGAAGAAATCAAGCGAAGGATAGTAATGGCAAACAGATGCTATTTTGGACTGAGTAGACATATGAGAAGTAGAAACTTAAGCCAAAAAACAAAAATAACTATATACAAAACCCTTATACAGCCAGTGTTGACATATGTATCGGAGACATGGACCATCTCCAAGGCAGACGAAGACCTTTTGCTTATATTTGAACGAAGGATCCTGAGAGGAATATTTGGTGGCATCTGTGAAAATGGTGTTTGGAGGAGGAGATACAACTACGAGGTATACCACAGATATAAACAAATATTTGGTGGTGAAGACGTAGTATCTCTTATAAGAATAGGAAGATTAAGATGGGCAGGACATCTAGCAAGATCACAGCAGAACAACCCTCCTAGAAGAATCCTTATGTCACAACCCGTGGGAAGCAGAAAAAGCGGTAGGCCAAAACTCAGATGGAAGGATGGTGTAGATGAGGATGGTAGAAAGATAGGCGCAGCAAACTGACAACAGTTGGCAATGGATAGGACTGCCTGGCGTAATAGACTTGGGAAGGTCGAGGCTCTTTCATAGGGCTGTAGCACCATTGATGATGATGATAGTGGTAGAGACTACGTTAGCATTTGTGGTGTAGTGTTTAACATGTGTGTTTGTTGTGAATATGTTGGATGAAAGAATTGTGTAATTGGTGGTTATGTACAATTATATACAATACACATTGTATAGCAAAAGTATAGTGAAATAAATCGTTCGAATAAATAATAAACAAAGTGGGTTCTAATATCGAACCTTGAGGAACCCCAAATTCGTCAGTGTTAAACTTAAAATAGTTGTTATTAAGAAAAAATGTCTGTTTTTTGTTTGTTAAGTATGATCTAAACAGATAAAGAGTGTTACTCCTAACACGGTCAAAATCTCTGGATATGTCACACAATGTCAAAGACAAAGACATCTTCCTTCATACCGTCAACTATATCTCTCACAATTTTCTGTATAGCTAGAATAGTGCTACACTTTTTTCTAAAGCCATATTAATAAAAGTGATGTATTTTGTCTTTTTAAGATATTCTACCAAACGAACATTTAGAAAACTCTCAAAAATTTTGCCAAAAATTGTAATAAATAAGATAGAACCATGATTTTCGATTTTAACTAAAGGTCTCTTTTGGAACACGTAACCACAAAAACGGTCTGTAGCCACAAAAAGATCAATGTGTAGACACATAAAAGGCTAATCGGAACTGAGTCGTTGGTACTGATTGAATTTTACTCAATAAAAAAAATGATAATGTGTGGGACCGTGTATAAGGTAAAATCCTAATCAACGAGATAAAAGTATAATATATAAACTACATACCAGAACCAACAGACAATAATTAAAGTAGGAAATAAAAAGTCCTGCAAAGTTGATAAATCAAAGTAGGTGTATAGAATTTGGTAAGACATCTGCCACAAACTATGCAATTACGATGATATTGCTACAAAAGTGAAAGAAATATTGTTAAAATACAAGCCAATATGAAAATACATAAATAAGGGTAAAACACAGAATATACAAATATTGGCGCTATGTCTAAATACTTCCGTCGTTTTAAATAGAAAACTGTATTGACTTGATTTTATTTGAATACTATTTCCTCTAGCAAAAATATATTAAACCGCGTTATTATCTACTACCGCGTTATCTTCTTTATCGCTTGATTCTGAGAGGTTATCAACTTAGTTTAAAATACATTAGACAATCCAGTGGCAAACTTTTTGTTTCTTGCTGTTACATCGATTGAACGATTAATTTTAGCGATATCCATGTGATATACTCAGCAAAATCAATCCTGCAAAGTACCCTCGACGACGGCATGTGGGAGATCGGCCCCGACACTGTAAAGTCGCTGGGGGCTTGTAACGTAACGAATGCAAACCTTTTGAAATATATGCACCCCAACCTGTGTAGATATACGACTGAAACATTATAAATCACGTAACGGAGCAGAACTCGTGATTTCGATGTGACAATATTACTAAATTCGGATTTGCGCGGAATTTCCGAAACAGATTGAGGGTTTTGGTGGTGAGGCGTGAGCATAGAGAGAAAATATTTGATATTTTTTGAAATTGGAAAATCATGAATATCGATGAAAATGTTGGCGAAGGGTAAAACAGCATAACCAAATTGTTAAATCCTAAAAAAAACTTTTAAAATTTTCTTTTATTTAAAATCTAATTACCGTTTTTATTAGAGAGAAGACAAGAAAATATTATTTTAGGGTTTAGGCATATTTAAAATTGTTAAGATGATATAATATTTGGAAATTAGGAAATGCTAAGCACAAATAAAGAACGCTGTAACATATTTAAATTTCTTAAAGATAATTAATTCAGTTTTAGATTATAAGTAGTGAATAAGTAGTATTGATAGTGAGAAGGCACAAGCAGAAACGTGAAAGTTCTACAAGAGGATTAACCAGAGCAGAAAAGAATTGAAACCAAGATTATCAATCGTTAGAAATAGAACAGGGGAGATCATTGGTGATCAGGACCAGATACTAAAAAGGTTGGCTGAAAACTTCGAGGAGAAAAATCAGAAATCCAACTCTAGAACATTGATGACTAAAGAGAGAAAGATAACATCCCAACAGAGGTAGAAGTCATTCGAGATGTACAAAAATTGAAAGAAAGCAAAGCTTCTGGGGCAGATGGCATTCCTTCAGAACTTTTAAAGCATAGAAAAAAATCTGACATACTGTATATGTAGACTGTTAGAACTGATCTGGATGCAAATAAATTTATACTGGAATATGAAGTAGTTAATTGGGAATTTACGAAATCTAACTTAGCATTAAGATATTTTATATTATCTAGACCATAGAAACTTCTATGAAAATCGAAAAGATAGAATTTAATCTTACCATCCTGATTAAATTCTGAAAATATGGGGATTTCT